GTGTTTAATATGGTTTATTTATATTTAATATACTTATTCTGAGGACAAACCCCCATCAAGAATGACATCAAACTCAGATGAATGTAAACAGATCATTGAGGTGTTTGGAGCTGGTGTGTATAAATATACCTACTTAATTGTAACCTCTCCCTTTTTACCTCTGCCCTTTTCTTTTAAAAGAACATTAAGAGAGGAAGAGTTATGAGAAAGAGAAAAAAGACACATCCTCTTCCTCTGCTTTCCCTGTCTCACTAGCCCTTCACAGCTACCTCTGACTACACACTCCCCATCACTTCCCACACCGGCCCGGCTCCCGCTGAAGGCCCTAATCAGGCCACTCCAGACCTGGTCTTGGGTCACACTCTGTTCTACAAAAGGGAGAATCTTACTTCCAGCCACAGCTGGGAGAAACTGGATTCTCCCTAAGTCTCACAGTAGATTAGAACCAGAGGAAGACCTAGTTCTCCATGCACCTAACCTGCATTCCACTCTGGAAACATTCCCTCTTGGCAGCTAATTAATATAAGAAACCAGCAAAGCAAAAACACTGGGAGAAATGGAACAGCCTGGGAGGGAAGGGGAAGGATGAGAATGTGCAGCCTGATGCAAAATATCCTCCCACAGTGAGGGCGAGATGACACAGAAAGCCGAGAAGTAATAATAGTGGGAGACACGGCCACACTGATGCATATCACAAAACCTGAAATTGAAGGGAATTGAAGCCTCTCATCGTGACACATTTCATCATTTTCTCAGTAATTGCATCCGTTTCGTAATTTCTCCCATCACTGACTCCCCAGGAGTCCTGGCATCTCTCCGCCTGTGATACGGAGATGGCGGGTAATGGTGTTTGCCTGCAGGAAATTAAAGACCCTTTCAATAACTGCATTAGTCATCCACACTTGCTACTGTGATTGATCTGGTAACCGCCATCAGATCTGGGCACAGAAAGGATATGAAAATTCATAAGCAGGGAAACAATCTTATCTTCCCTTTATCCAGCTCTCTCTTTACAAGAAATACCTGCAAAGTCATTGCTGCATTTCTGATCTGTTCACTAAAGGGCATATTTCTGACAGGCTGGGATACAGCCACTGGGGACTGGAAACTATTTAGGATCCTAGGAAATGGTGGATTCTGCCTAGGTTTCCTCATAGTTGCTCTGCTGAGTTGCCCTTTAATGTAAAAGAGCAAAATTGTTTCAGAACTGTATTTCAACATTTCAGAAGGCAAGAAGCCATAACACTGAAAAAAAGGAGAAAAGGGGAAAAAACAACACCCTTTTCTCTTCCTGTGTCTGTGAAAGGCACCAGAAAAAAAAAAAAAAAAAAAAAAAAAAAAAAAAAAAAAAAGAAAAAAAAAAAGCACACTCTGATTTTATTATTTCTCTATATCACAGGCACTCCCTGGTTTCAGGGGCTAGGGGAGGTGCTGGGGAAATTGTTCCATAAGTAAAACACCAAACAAGCCACTCAACGTAAAGGCAAGAATCCCAGTGAACAAGCACTATTTTCTGGGTTTTCCAATCCAGATCTCTAAAACCTGCATCTATTTGTCTAAGAATCTAATAATCAAATGCACATATATAGGGTGTTCCCCCCAAAATATATATACTTTAACAGCTGATAGCTCAATTTTGAAAATGAAAGATATTTTAATAAGCACTGCCTTTATAACTGTTCAAAGTATGTGTATACATTTCTGGGGTCACCTTATGTTGATACTTTTTGATCCACTCTAGCACTAGGTTATTTATCTTCCAGGTATACTTCCCATATAAGAAATATACGTATAAAGCGATTCATTACAGTGTTTTCTTGTGATCGGGAATAAAGGCTGTAAATAACCTTGAAAAGCATCAATAAAGGACAAGTTATATTTTGGTTCATCCACACAATGGAATCCCATGAAGCCAATAAAAAAATAAAGTACCACTCATATAGTAAAAATGGAAAAATCCTCAGGATTAATTTAATAAATGGAAGTTGTGCAGCTGTGTAAATAGCATGCTGCCATTTATAGAGAGGAAAGAACAGAGCCCTGGCTGGTGTGGCTCCATGGGTTGGGTGTCATTCGTGTACCTAGAGGTTGATGCTTCGATTCCCAGTCAGGGCACAAGCCTGGATTTCAGGTTCAATACAGGTCAGTGGGAGTGCAGGAAGCAGCCAACTGAAGTTCCACTCTCACATGAGTCAATGTCAATTTCTCTCTCTCTCTCTCTCTCTCTCTCTCTCTCTCTCTCTCTCTCTCTCTCTCTCATCAGAAACACATCTATGTGTGTAATGCATAGCATAGCTATGGAAATATATGCAAGAATCAGTGCCTCTGAGACAGAGAAGTGGGGAAAAGGGACTGAGGAAGGAAGGAGACCATAATTCTGTTCATTGATTATCGCAAGACTTACTATTATTATGAACATGGGGGTGCAATTATATAGAAAGAACTAGAGGCCCGATGCACGAAATTCATGCAAGAGAAGGCCTTCCTTCCCCCAGCTTCCCTCAGCCGGCATCAGCTTCCCTCTGGCACCCAGCATCTGGGCTTCCCTCTGGCCACGAACAGGCACCTGGGACCCAGGATTCCCTCGTGTCTCCAGCTTCGTCCAGAAGGTTGTCCAGAAGGACATCCAGTCTAATAAGCATATTACGCTTTCATTATTATAGATAGTAATGGGTACATATAGTACTGAAAGGTCCCAGGTTCGATTCCGGTCAAGGGCACGTACCCTGGTTGCAGACACGTCTCCTGTGTGAGGTGTGAAGGAGGCAGCTGGTCCATGTTTCTCTCTCATCAATGTTTCTAACTCTCTATCTCTCTCTCTTCCTCTCTGTAAAAAACTCAATGAAATATATTTTTAAAAATAAAAAAATAAAAAAATGGCTTTGAAAATGTGCTATTTCGCATACATACAATTGTGATTGTGCTGAACACATTGGGGAGCCAAACAAGTCATTGAAGAAAAGTTGTTCAGTTTTCCCTTTACTTTTCATTCCAAGAGAAAACTGTATAATCAAAGCACAGTCCTTTTTAAACTCTGAGTTCAGGAGAGAAGTTAAGTGTTTAAGAAAGAAAGTCTTCTGCTAAGTTACACAAAGTGCTTAGCCCAAATATATAACATGCTTGGCACAAGCCTGGCCCATCATAAATCCCCATTCCAGCAGAGTTTTCTCATTTCTCATTTGGAGGCTGCCAGCCTCATGGGAGAGAAAAGTAAGTAAGAGCTGGCCTTCAAGAATTTGGAAACAGCCTAGGTGCCCGGCAGCAGATGATTGGATCAAAAAACTGTGGTACATCTACATAATGGAATACTATGCTGCCATAAAAAAGAAGGAATTCTCATCATTTGCAGCAACCTGGATGGAATTGGAGAACATCATGCTGAGTGAAATAAGCCAATCAATGAAAGAGAAACACCACATGACCTCACTCATTTGTGGATGATAAAGAACATTATAAATTGATGAACCAAGAGACAGATATAGAGACAGTAAAGCAACACGCAGACTGTCAAATTACAGTGGGGAGGGGAGGAAGATCTGGGGGAGATAATAGATCAACCGAAGGACTTGTGTACATGCATGTAAGTACAACCAATGGACATAAAACTTTGGGGAGGGAGGGTGTGTATGGGAGGGAGGGAGGGGGGCAAAAAAAAATCAATAAAAAAAAAAAAGAGAGCTGGCTTTCACTCCTGTCAATAATTGGGAAATCCATCTGAAACAAATTAAAACTTCAATTCTTAATTTTTTTTCTCCCAATCCCCCATTGTGGATTCAAGGCACGGATGACTTTTAAAGACTTGTTAAAGGGGAAAACACTCCATAGCCCACTTTGCTTTTGTGGGTAAACCATTGGGCTGTGGACCGAGGGGTCCTGGGTTCGATTCTGGTCAAGGGCACATGCCCAGTTTGCAGGCTTGATCCCCAGTGAGGGGCATCCAAGAGGCAACTGATCCATGTTTCTCTCTCATCATTGATGTTTCTCTCTCTTTCTCCCTCTCCCTCTCTGAAATCAATAAAACTATGTTTAAAAAAAAGAAAAAGAAAAAACCTCAACCTTGGCATATGGGGATGACACTCCAACCAGCTGAGCTACCCAGCCAGGGCCAAAATTCTTATATTGATGTCCCAACTCCCAGTACCTCCAGAATGTAACCTTTTTAAAGATAAGGTCTTTAAAGAGATGATTAAGTTAAAACAAGGCTGTTAGGTTGGGGCCCTTATCCAATATGACCGATTCCTTACAAGTAGAAACACCAGGAATACACATGCACAGAGAAAGGTCATGTGAGGACACAGTGAAAAAGCAGTCACCTGGAAACCAAAGAGAGAGGACTCAGAAGAAATCAAACCTTGATCTTGGGCTTCTAGTCTTCAAACTGTAAGAAAATAAATTTCTGATCACTTGCTTTATAACAAAAGAAATCTGGTAGGAATACGTTTCCTCAAATCAATAACCTTTTAAATTTACAATTATTGAAATTAAAGTAGAAATACCTATTCAGATTATTTAAAAAAAAAAAACACAGCTGAATTATACATTCATTATGAATTTTGGGGAAATTATTTATTTTATTCTATGGGGTTTAGACAAGTAGTTTCACATTTCAATTTAAGTCCAGAATCAGAAAACATTTCTTGTACACCCAGTACTATAATAATAGAGATCATCCTATATCGATGAAATACTTAAATACAGAGATTGATTTAAAAATGGATTTCTCTAAATAACATTTACAGGAAAACACACAATACAATCCACTCTGGATCTAAGAGGCTTAATTTGTTCTAATATTAAAAGAAACGTGTCTTCTGAAATTTCTCTCATTTTAAAAAGCATTGTGAGAATGGGTGCAAGGGTGGAGGAATCAATCGGTACTCAGCGATTCACAAGCATGACATATAAACATGACATTTTAAAGATCTGAGCGAAGACTGTGTGTTGGCAGCAGAGGGGGTGGTCTTGCTCACTCGCTCTCCCTCCTACTGAGCAGGGACATTTCATATTTCATAGTTTCTGAATTTCCTCAGGAGTTCTGAAGGAGCATCCCCAGACCAGCGGAAACGAAGGTGCCAACTGTTCACATCTGAAAAACCTTTGAAGGAGAGAAGAGAAGATTTTTAAAATCAGAGGTGGGAACAAAGAAGTCAAGCTTGTAATAGTCAAATAGCTTGCTGGTGAGATTTCACTGCAATAAGTGAAATGTAAGGGTAAGTCTTTGGGATGAATTATTAATATCTTACAGAAACTGATTAACTTAGGCAGGATGTTGAATTCTTGTGAACAGGATTTATTTTATATGGATGAGAGGATCTCACATTCTTGAACTTAATAATAAAAGGACATTTACAATGCCTCCAGTGGTGGTAATTTTGACAATTCACCTGCAAAGAAATTGGAAACAACTTTCAAACAGCTGCCAAAAATAAAAGGTCAATGGTAAAGGATTCCAGAAATACAAACAATGTATTCCATAATGGTAAGATTTATTTTTTTGGACTAATAAACAACTTTCTTGAAAATTAGATAAAAGGTCATTTCCCCTCTACTAGAGAAAGTGTAAACTGACAAAACTATTCTGGGTAGGAAATTTGCAATATTTATCAAACTCATTAAAATGCATAAACATATAACCTAACAATTCTACTTCTGAAAATTTATCTTAAGGAAATAATCATGGATGTGCTCAAGCGTTTTAACTATCAGATGTTTAATATGATACCTTTTGTAAATGTTTTTAAAAATAAAAAACAGCCAAAACCGGTTTGGCTCAGTGGATAGAGCGTCAACCTGCGAACTGAAAGGTCCTGGGTTCGATTCCGGTCAAGGACATATATGTTGGTTGCGGGCAAATCCCCAGTGGGGAGTGTGCAAGAGGCAGCTGATCGATGATTCTCTTTCTCATCGATGTTTCTAACTCTCTGTCCCTCTCTCTTCCTCTCTGTAAAAAATCAATAAAATATATTTTTAAAAATAATAAAAATAAAAAACAGCCCTGGCCTGTGTGGCTCTGTTGGTTGAGTATCATCTCCATGCATCACTAGGTCACCAGTTTGATTCTGGTCAGGGCACATGCCTGAGTTGCAGGCTCAATCTCCAGGAGGGGGCATGCAGGAGATAGCCCATCTCTCTCCCTCTCCCTTTCTCTCTAAAAATCAATAAAACATATTTTTTTAAAAAAACATTCCAAGTATTCAGCAATAGAAAGCTGGTTAAAAGGCTGTGATAGAGTCATTAACAATTTTTTAATACTTACAGTCACATAAAAATGCTCATAACATATTGCTGTGACAGGTAGTTAGAAAACTGTGATTTCATTTTTTTAAAATATGTTTTTATTGATTTCAGAGAGAAGAAGGTAAGGAAGGGAAATAGAAACATCAATGTTGCCAAAACCGGTTTGGCTCAGTGGATAGAGCATCGGCCTGCGGACTGAAGGGTCCCGGGTTCGATTCTGGTCAAGGGCATGTACCGTGGTTGCTGGCATATCCCCGGTGGGGGGTGTGCAGAAGGCAGCTGATCGGTAATTCTCTCTCATTGATGTTTCTAACTCTCTCTATCCCTCTCTCTTCCTCTCTGTAAAAAATCAATATTTAAAAAAGAGAAAAAAAGAAACATCAGTGTTGACAGAGACTAACCAACTGACTGCCTCCTGCACACCCCCTGCTGGGGATCAAGCTAGCAACCTGGGCAGGTGCCCCGACTGGAAATCAAACCACAATCTCCTGGTTCATAGGTTGACACTCAACCAATGAACCACATCAGCCAGACTCATTTTTAAAATTCTTATTTACATGGGTATATCTATAAAAAAAATGTTTAAAGGCTATAAGGAATTACCCCTAAATGTTAACAATAGTTATCCCTAGATAGTTGGAATAGATGTAAGTTTCACTTTTTAATACCCTTTTCTGTTTATCTGTATTTTCTTATTTTTCTGTAGCGAATAAGTATGCCTTTCGTCATTTTTTGTTGTTTATAATATTGCTAATGAAAACGCAGGTTACAGAAAAATAAAATATGCTTCCATTGATATTTAAATGATTGTCTAGCCAGGACTGGTTTGGCTCAATGGATAGAGCGTCAGCTTGGGGACTGAAGGGTCCCGGGTTCGATTCCGGTCAAGGGCATGTACCTTGGTTGCGGGCATATCCCCAGTAGGGAGTGTGCAAGAGGCAGCTGATCGATGACTCTCTCTCATCGATGTTTCTAGCTCTGTATCTCTCTCCCTTCCTCTCTGTAAAAAATCAATAAAATATATTTTTTTAAAATAAAAAATAAATAAATGATTGTCTAAAACTCTAGGCAGAAAAATATAAACAGAATTGAGGACAGTGACTATCTCAGAAAAACGGGATTTGCTTGCACTTTCTTTAGAATTGTCATAGAAAACAAATTTAAAGAATTTCCATTTGGAGAAAAAGCAAACAGGAAATTCTGACAAGCTGTATTTGAAAGGCCCACACAAAATATGGACAGTGGTCCTTTCAGTTTTAAGTATACTAACATATAAAAATATACCAAAAGATAGGCGATATGTTGTTGAGGCGGTAAGATGATAAGTTGTTTTTTCTTCCTTTTACTTGACCACATCCTCTCACATCTCACCTGTTGCCAGGCAGGCCCCTGCCAGAGGAAGCCCTCTGTGAGGGTCACAGGCCGGGCACGCCCGGGGAGGCAGAAGCCCCGAGGACATGCCTGCACAGCAACAGCATCTGCTACCTTGGACTTTTTGTTTGTTTTTATTGCAGGATGTCACCGAAAACTATTTGATTCTAAAACAGTATTTATCAGAAGCCATATTCATTGCATATTTAAACAGAAAGAGAAAAAAAGTGAGGTTGCCTCACTCACTGGTTTGCAGATGCCCTGGTTGCAAGGGGGACTATTTAAGGGCTCATTACAGAAGAGGCATCAAAGGGCAAACTCCAAAGTAAATATTAAGCATTGCTTGAGGAAATTAACAAATATGCTTAAAAGTTATGTGAGCAGCCTCTCGGGCTTAGTAAAGAATGACGTGAATAATATTTCTTAAATGCTGACATTATAAAAATTTACTCTACGGTCAAATGAAATTATAAATAATCATGCAACTGCACTTTGGTATATCAAACTCAACTTTAAGGCACTACTCAGAACAGCTAATAATATCTTAAACGACACTAAGAAATACTGGTAGGCCCTGGCCGGTATTGCTCAGTGGGTAGAGTGTCAGCCCTCCTGCCCAAGGGTTTCAGGTTCAATCCCAGTCCCCATTTTCTCTCTCTTTCTCTCCCCCTTCCTCCCTCCCTTACACTCTCTCTAAAAATCAGTGGGGGAAATATCCTTGGGTGAGGATTAACAAAACAAAACAAAAACAAACAAATACTGGTAAATGCAGCTTTTGGCAAAATTTTATAATTCTTATTCTCCAACCAACAGCTCTCAGAACGAGGATCCTTCCTCCTCTCACCCCCTCCATTTCATTATCCTGAGTAAATTTTGATATATCTGCGCTGTGGAATATTTATCAGCTGATAGAAACAGTGAGTTAATTCTAAATGTAAGGTTCCAAGGAGAGGTCCCATAATAATGAAGTCTGACACTAAAAAAAAAATTTTCTGTACCTGATGGAAACATTTTACGTATGTTAAATTATTTATTCCTCAAAAAGTCTGCTTAATTTAATCAATTACTGTAAGATAGTAATAATTCATACCAAAAACATAACCTTTCAAAGTAGAAACTATTTTAACCATTATCTATATATATAAAAGGTTAATATGTTAAATGTCCATCCAGGTAATAACAACACATAGCAACCTCCGGCTTCTTCTCCCTAGCAACTAGCCTCCTTGGAGTTTCTTCAGCCCAGAAATATGACTTGCTTTATAGCCAGGTGCAAACATTTTACACTGTAACCAAATGTCTGTGAAGCATTTTCCTGTGCCTCATCTCATTTGATCCTCACAGAAGTCCTGGAGTGGGTAGAAAGGAGACTCCATGGAAGCCTGTTTTCTTTTCATTGGGTGGAAAATTGAGATTTAGAAAGCTTAGAAACTTGACCTGACTGAAAAGAAGAAATGGTGGACCTTGAAAATTACTTCAGGTTTTCTCACTACGCAGAATATAATCAAACACTGCTGCAGTTACGGTAAGTATTTTACCCTTTATTCTCCCTGGGTGATCTACAATAATAATCTACTTCATGTTATTTACTGCTGTGTTGCTGACAATTACCTGAAAGAAAAGTTGGGATGCTTCACTGGGCTGGAAAAAGTTTAGCTAAATCATAAAGCAGGTCTAATTAAGCAAGTTTATTCTATATATAAAAGGCTAAGTTGACTCGCGCATGCACAATTCATATAAAGCTCTCATGGGCGCCAATCGTATGGATGTGTTTCCATCTGTCATTGTTGATCATGAATTTGGTTGACACTTCTATTACTAGTATAGAGAAAAGGCGAATAGCAATTTTTAAATATTACTTCCAATTAATTTCCTTTCAATGTGCATGAATTCGTGCACCAGGCCACTAGTATACAGATTTAAAAAAAAAAAAAAAAACTAAAATAGGTTTACTCTTATTAACATAAGAATGTCCAAACCTGTAGAGAATTTTTATAAAACTTTTTTGTTTGAGCCCTGACCGGTTTGGCTCAGTAGATAGAACATCGGCCTGTAGACTGAAGAATCCTGGGTTCAATTCCAGCCAAGGGTATGTATCTTGGTTGCAGGCACATCCCCAGTCGGGGGAATGAGGGAGGCAGCTGATCCACATTTCTCTCTCATCAATGTTTCTAACTCTCTACCCCTCTCCCTTCGTCTCTGTAAAAAATCAATAAAATATATATTTTTTAAATTATTGTTAAACATAGGATATGCCAGGAAGTGAGATCTCAACAGACAGAAAAATGTCTCCCAGAATAACAGTTTGTAGTTTATTTATGTATTTGAGATTGAGGAGGAAATGTAAGGATTACCGTATTTTCCGGCATATAAGACGACCCCCTAATTTTACAGTTAAAACATAGGTTTAGGCCTATATTCGCTGCAGAAGACTACCCCCCACTTCCGAGGCAACACCAGTTCTTTTTTTAATAGACAGCCTCTCTGACTCTGGCCAATCTGAGCAGGCTTTTTACTAGAACACAGTGTAGCTTCGGATACAGTGTAGCTTCGGGTAGAGAAATGTGCTCAGAGTATGACTGTTCTGTATTTTTAAAGGCCTCATGAGTGAACATATACCGTTCCTACTATATGCTTGTATCAGCAAATGAAACCGTATGGAAGGAGACACACCTAGGCATCTGCACTGGTTACTTTAGGAAACAGAAGCAGAGAAAGATGGGTGACTAGGGTATACACTGAGTTATTATTTGTATATAATTCCTTTGCCGGGATTGTATTAAGGAATGTATCATCTAGTTTCCATGCCAATACTAAGTATTTAAGGACAAGTCAACCCTTAGATTTGGCGAGATTCAGACCTTCTTTGTCTGCAAAGCTACATGACATGACTTACTTGAAGCATCTGGACTCTGTGGGGAGGGTGACTTCTCCAAGGACTCAGACTCTTTTTGCTCCATTTTATTGGTGGTTGAACCCAGCTCTACTTTCTTTACTTCTCTTTGTTCGTTCTGTTCTTCATTTTCAATCTTGTTGGCACGAGTCTGGTCACGTTCTTCCAACATTAGATCTTTTTTACCTCTGACAGCCCAGTGCATTGACTACATTAAGAACAGACATATAATATAAAATCAATATTATATAGCTTTCTGTATTTAAATTTTAATATGTGGTAACACCTGACCTACTATTATAATGCTAATTTCAGAGTGTTAAACTTGACTATTAACCAGATATTAATCAATTAATCCAGATATTAATTATTTAATCTTCCCTGATTTGGAAGACTAATGATATAAGGATGAATCTATATTATGGTACAGAACAAAGGGACAAACATCAGAGAGATTCAAAAAATTAGATATTTCCTCAAAAAGTTAAACCTAGAATTACCACACGAACCCAGCAATTCCATTGATAGGTACATACCCAAAAGAACTGAAAACAGCCCTAGCCAGTTTTGCTCAGTGGACAGAGAATCGGCCTGTGAACTGAAGGGTCCTGGGTTCAGTTCTGTCAAGGGCACATGCCTGAGTTGCAAGCTCGGTCCCCAGTAGGGGGCCTGAAGGAGGAAGCTGATCAATGATTCTCTGTCATCATTGATATTTGTATCTCTCTCTCGCTCTCCCTTCCTCTCTGAAATCAATAAAAATATATTTTTTAAAAAAGAACTGAAAACAGTTGTTAAAAGAAAAACTTACACATGAATATTCATTCACAAAAGCCAAAGGTGAAAACAACCCAAATGTCCATCAACCAATGAATAGATAAATAAAAGATGATATATCCATATAATGGCATATTATTTTACCATAAAAAAGGAATGAAGTCCTACAACGTGGATAAACCCTGGAAATATTGTGCTAAATAAAGAAGCCAGATACAAAAAGCCACGTATGTATGATTCCACTTACATGAACTATCCAGAATAGACAAATCCGTATAGAAAGAAAAAAGTGGTTATCAGGAGCTGGGGAGAGGGGAATAGGAAGTGATTGCTACGAAATTTCCTCTTGGGCTGATGAAAAAGTTCTAGGCCCACTGCATGGGAGAACATATTTGCCAATGTTATCACTGATAAGTGCTTAATCTCCAACATGTACAGGGAACTCATACAACATAATAAAAGGAAGATAAACAACCTAATCAAAAAATGGGCAACAGACCTAAATAGATACTTTTCGAAAGAAGACAGAAGGAAGGCCAAGAGACCTATGAAAACATGCTCAAAGTCACTAATTATTTGAGAGATACAAATCAAAACAATGAGGTATCATCTCACACCTGTCAGAATGGCTATCATCAACAAATCAACAAACAACAAGTGCTGGCGAGGATACAGAGAAAAAGGAACCCTTATAAACTGCTGGTAGGAATGCAGACTGGTGCAGCCACTGTGGAAAATAGCATGGAATTTCCTCAAAAAAACTAAAAATGGAACTCCCATTTGACCCAGCAATCCCACTTCCAGGAATCACTAGAAACACCACTTAGAAAGGACATATGCACCCCTATATTCATAGTGGCACAATTTACAATAACTAAGATTTGGAAACAGCCTAAGTGCCCATCAGCAGATGAGTGGATGAAAAAACTATGTTACATCTACACAATGGAATACTATGTTTTACCATTTGCAACAGCATGGATGGAACTGGAGAGCATTATGCTAAGTGAAATAAGCCAGGCAGATAAAATCTCACTCATTTATGGAATATAATGAATAACATAAACTGATGAACAAAAACATCAATCAGACCATTAAACCTCAAAGGGAAGGTAGGGGAGGGTGGGGGTAAGGAGGAGAGATCAACCAAAGGACTTATATGCATGCATATAAGCCTAACCAATGGACACAGACAACAGAGGCGTAAGAGCACGAGGGAGGAATGGGGGAGTAATGGGGGAATAAGGACACATATGTAACACCATAGTCAATAAAGAAATTAATATATATATAATAAAATAAAATTTAAAAAGTTCTAGAACTAGATAGTGATGATGGATGAACAATATTGTGAATTTACTTAATGCCACTGAATTTTACACTTTAAAATCGTTAAAATGGACCCTGGCAGGGTAGTTCAGTTGATTAGAGCCGTGGTCAGCAAACTGCAGCTTGCGAGCCACATGCGGCTCTTTGGGCCCCTTGAGTGTGGCTCTTCCACAAAACACCACGACCTGGGCAAGCCTATTTTGAAGAAGTGGTGCTAAAAGAAGTTTAAGTTTAAAAATTTTGACTCTCAAAAGAAATTTCAATCGTTGTACTGTTGATATTTGGCTCTGTTGACAAATGAGTTTGCCAACCACTGGATTAGAACATTGCCCCTATATGGCAAGATAGTGGGTTTGATTTCCATGAGGGCACATACAGGAATCAACCAATGAATGCATAAATGAGTGGAACAACAAATAGATCTCTCTGTCTCTCTCAAATCAATAAAAAAAATTTTAAGAAAATAATAAAACAAAATGGTTAAAATAATTAAGTTTTATGTTGTGTGTATTTTACCACCAAACAATGAGGCTGTGTGTCTCAAGACATGTCAGAGATTAAACCTACTACTATTATAACTACTATTGTGACCTTCCATTAAGTTTGAACAATGTAGAGTTGGCATTAGAAGTCTGGCAATGAAAATATTAGAATTCTGGATTACACATCTTCTCTTTAAGAAAACACACAGCTGAAACCGGTTTGGCTCAGTGGATAGAGCGCCAGCCTGCGGATTAAAGGGTCCCGTGTTCGATTCCGGTCAAGGGCATGTACCTTGGTTGCGGGCACATCCCCTGTGGGGGGGGGGGGGGGTGCAAGAGGCAGCTGATCGATGATTCTCTCATCGATGTTTCTAGCTCTCTGTCCCTCTCTCTTCCTCTCTGTAAAAATATCAATAAAATATATATTAAAAAAAAAAAAAGAAAACACACAGCACAAAGCAGGAATTCAATCACAATGCAAGGGGCATATTGCTTTTCACCTATAGCACATTTCTTTTCTGGAAAGTCTAAACTTATCTAAAACACTGGGGTTGCCAGGTGTGACTGACAAGCCAGTATCTTCCCTGTGTGATTCCCTCCCCCAGTGTTTTACAGGGAACATGTCCACAATGCCTGGCCTTCCCTTTACTCCTTTCCCGTTATTAATAATTAGCTAATTACAACAGAATACTGTTAGTTCTGTGCCTTAGCACTTCTCTCTTTAAATAAAAGGACTACGGTATGCCTTAGAAGGATGGTGAGGACTGATGACTCGCCTCTAATAAATGCTTTCAAAGCCCTCCGTGAAAATATATTGAGATAGTCATCTTACTCATCCATCCCCTTTATGAGCAAATCAGAATAAAGTATTTTATTATCAATCCTCATATCTGTTGATCCCAATTAATGAAATACCCAAGGGGAAAATCCAAACTATATCTAACCTATACAGGCATCTCTTGCTTCATAGTTCAATCGAAGCACTACCATAGGAGCAATGCTAAGCAGCCTGGTTTGCTGGGACACAATTAGATGATACATTTCTGTGTTCACAAAATGTATTTCTCAGCTCCAATAGCGTAGCAGTTGGGCACAACAATATTTAACAGCAAGTAAACTACTGTGGAGTGACTCAGATCAATAGACTGAGCATCAATAAAAAATATCAAATGATAGCAGATGATAGAGACAAAGAGGAATTCTAGGGAGGGGAAAGTCTGGACAGTAAAATGAATTGCCCCAGATGAAAATCACTGTGTGCATAGAGCAGGCTAACACAAACAGACACCCATCCTGAAGGCAAAAGCCACGGTCCTATTCTGTGAAACCAGCATGTTATTCTGCCTTCTCAAATAACGTATTGACCAGCTTTCCTTAATAGGTTGTCTGTTTCTTTTCTTTTCTTTTTTGTAATCTAGAAAGCCATTTTCTTAAATTATGAACCTTGGTGAACACTGGAATATAAATGCATTGTGTCTATATGCTAGGAAGCTTTGAGACAATTAGAAAAAAAAAAATCAATGGACTCAGATGAGCCATAGTTGAGCTAAGTAACTATTCAAAATTGATGGGTTATTTTTATCCTGGCTCTCCGTGAGTACATTTTTTTTTTTACTTGCCTGGCTGACCTCTGACAGTTTTTGGATAACATCCAATTAGGACAAACTATCTTTGAACAAGCCCAAAAGACCTTGAACTGCACTTTGTTTCCCATCTGGCTAGACACGTGATTGGCAAACTGTGGCTCACGAGCGACAGGCAGCTCTTTGGCCCCTTGAGTGTGGCTCTTCCACAAAATACCACGGCCTGGGCAAGGCTATTTTGAAGAAGTGGCGTTAGAAGAAGTTTAAGTTTAAAAATTTTGGCTCTCAAAAGAAATTTCAATTGTTATACTGTTGATATTTTGGCTCTGTTGACTAATGAGTTTGTCATCCACAGGGTTAGGAAAACTGTGGCTGGAAAGGCAAAATAGGAAGCTTCCCTGGTAGTCGGTAGCCAACTGGACTCATCCCAAAGATACCATTGGTGAACACTGGAATATAAATGCATTGTGTCTATATGCTAGTAAACTTTGAGACAGCCAGAAACAACGGACAAGAGGTCCACATGAGGACAGAGGTCCACATGAGTGGCAGCCCCAACAAGCCCTCCCCGTAACAATCAATGTTTTTCTCTCAGCGATGTTTCTAACTCTATATCTCTCTCTTCCTTCCTCTCTGTAAAAAAAAAAAAAAAAAAATCAATAAAATATATTTAAATATATATATATGATGAACAGAATGATCTGGTGAATATAATAGAATTAGGGGCATAGAAAGGGAGTGTACTGACAACTCTTGGGGGGAGGGAGGTGTGGGGGTACAAGAAGAAACTGGACAAAAATCATACACCTATGGATGAGGACAATGGTGGAGGTTAAGGGCATGGGGGGGAGGGAGTGGAAACCAGGTGGAGGGGAGCTGTGAGGGGAAAAAAGAGGAACAACTATAATAATCTGAACAATAAAGATTTGTTCAGATTATTATTACACACACATGCATATATATGGTGATTATTTTTATATTTAGGGGGGGTTTTGTTTGTTTTTAATATATTTTATTGACTTTTTACAGAGAAGAAGGGTGAGGGATAGAGAGCTAGAAACATCGACGTTATGAGAGAGAAATATCCACCAGCCACCTCCTGCACACCCCCACCGGGAATGTGCCCACAACCAAGGCACATGCCCTTGACTGAAATCAAACCTGGGACCCTTGAGTCTGCAGGCCCATGCTCTATCCACTGAGCCAAACCAGTTTCGGCGATATTTAGGTTTTGTTTTGTTTTTTTAATGGCATAAAGAAATAACACAATGCTTTAGTCCTTCTCTGTCTATCCAATAATTCTTTCATCAGAATTTATAATAAAAGTAATTCATAAATAATTTAGAGCTTTCTTTGATTAATCAGATCCTTTTTTATGGAGTTTATATGGCTTCAGTAGAGAACAGGCTCATATGAACTAAAAAGATGAAGGAGATAAATTTGTAATGGTTCAAAATTCAGCAGTATTATGTGAGCAACTTGAGACACACAGTTATCAGAATGTTTACAACAGTAAATGCTAACGGGGAGTTACCAACCAAACAGCTGAAGAGACTCACAAGCATAGTCACGAGCTCTCTGGCACTGATCTGCCACATTTGCCTGCACAGGGATTTGTGGACACCGACCCACTTTCATCCAGATTCTACCACCTTTGGACCTTCTCCCTCCCATTCCCTAGTGACTATTTAAGCTACTATGCAAGTCTAATCCATGGGCAGCCTGAGCTTCATAAATTCACTTCATCCCAGAGAGACACCTACCGTTTTCATCGAGTCACTCAAAGCTTCCCACTGCTGGAATGGCATCGCAATCTGGCTCCTTCGCCAGTGGTCATAGCGGGCTCGACTCTCTTCATTAGTCAGAATCTCCTTTGCCTTCTGCAGTTTCTGAAAAGTCTCCACTGGAAAACAAATCAAAAGATGAGCACTACTTTCTCGGAGGGATTATTTAAAACTCCCAAACAGTCACTGCTACTTACTAGCTGTGTAACCATAGACCAGTTCAGCTCCTCAAACTTAGTTTCCTCATTTGTGAAGTGTTTCATAAGGACAAGTGGTATTATGTCTGTAAAGTGCCTGGCTCACAGTTTATCCACTCCCTTTACTGAGCTCCAGGAATGTGCCAGGTGCTGTTCCAGGTGCTGATGACTTAGGTGTGAACAACGGACACGATCTATTCAGTGGGATAGCCATTTATAAACATTGGGAAAATTATAATTTTGTCTACTAGGAAGAAAACTACCTTTTCTAGTACTAGTCTGGGTGGGTATGACGAAGCTAGAGGAACACTACAAATAAAAACACCTAACGCACAAATACAGAAAGCAACAATTAAAATGTCACAGCAAGAGGGGAAGTTTTTGCATGCAGAGGTAATGTAGAGGAAATAGAGAATGGCAATGTGGCTGGGAGACACGGGGCCTGAAAAGCAATGAGGGATAGGGTTGAGGAGTACACAAAAGCACTCAGAATCCAGGACCTTACAGGTCATACTGAGGATTCTGGTCTATATTTTTGTTTTGTTTTGTTTTGTTTTGTTTTGTTTTGTTTTGTCTTGTTTTGTTTTGTTTTGTTGTTGTAAGAGCAATGGGAAGCTATTGGGAGGTTTTAAACACAAGAAATAACATGATAGATGGTTGATAATTGGTAGCTTTGTCACTGACCTATTTGACCAGATAGTATACAATAAAAACCTTTCTTGACCCAGATGGAAACACTTCCAATGTCACTTCTGCTCCTCAGTAAAGTTAAACTTTCTATAGAGGAGGACAGAAGTTCAATATGTGAAAATCAATTGTTTCTATACATTAGCGATGAGCAATCTGAAAATCAAATTAAGAAAACAATTCCATTTACAGAAGCATTAAAAGAATACAACACTTCCCCAGCTGGCATGGCTCAGTGGCTGAGTATCCACCTTTGAACCTGGAAGTCACGGTTCAATTCCTACTCAGGGCAAATTCATGGCTTGTGGCCTTGATCCCCAGTAGGGGGCATGCAGGAGGGAGCAGATCAATGATTCCCTCTCATTAATGTTTCTATCTCTCTCTCCCTCTCTCTTCCTCTCTAAAATCAATAAAAAATATTTTTAAAAAAAAGAATGCAATACTTCAGAAAAATGCTAACAAAAGAAGTACAAGACTTACACACTGAAAATTATAAAACACTGTTGAAAGAAATTAAATCTCTAAATAATATAAAGACATCATGTTTATAGATCAGAAGATCTAATATTGCAAAGATGCTAATACTCCCCAAACTGATCTACACATTCCATACAATCTCTATCAATATATTTAGCTGCCTTTTTTTTGCAAAAATTGACTAGCTGATCCTAAAATCCATATGCAAATACAAAGGACCCAGAATAACCAAAATAATCTTGAAAGATAAAAACAAAATTGGAAGAATTCACATTTCTCAATTTAAAACTTTCTACAAACCTCCAATAATGAAAACAGTGTGGTACTGGCATACGGATAAACATAAATCAGTGAAATATTGAGAGTCCAGAAGTAAACCCTCACATTTACAGTCAAATGGATTTCTACAAGATTATCAAGACAATTCAATTGGGGAAAAATAGTCATTTCAACAAATTGTGCTGGGACAACTGATATATCCGCATATAAAAAAGTGAAGTTGGCTCTTGGCTGCTATGGCACAGTGGTTGAGCATCAAACCAGAAACCAAGTGGTCATTAGTTCAATTCCCAGTCAGGCACCTGCCCAGGTTGTGGGCTTGATCCCCAGTAGAGGGAAGTGCAAGAGGCAGCTGACCAATTATTCTCTCTCATTATCGATGTTTCTCTCTCTCTCCTTCTCCCTTCTTCTCTGAAATCAATAAAAAATATTTTTTAAAAACAATAGTGAAAAAACAACATGGTGAGATACCACTTCACACCACTAGAAAGGATAAAATTAAAAGATAAATACAAATGTTAATGAGGATGTGAAGAAATTGGAAGCCTCATACATTAAAGATGAACTGTAGAACAGGGTAGTTACTTTGAAAAACTGTTTGGCAGTTCCTCAAAATGTTAAACATAGAGTTACCATTACCATATGGCCCAAGAATTTCAATGGTTAAGTACAGTCAGCCCTATGTATTCCAAGTTCAGCATCCATGGATTAAACCAGCCGTGACTTGAAAATATTCAGAAGAAAAGTTACACCGTTGCTCACATGTACTGTGTAATTAAGCCTACAATGGTTGCATCAGTACTGAACATGTACACACTTTTTCCTTGTTCTTATTCCCTGAACTATAAAGTAAAACAGCTATTTACATGCACTTACATTGTATTAGGTATTACAATAATAATTTAATTCATATACATGCAAATTCTGCCATTTTACATAATGAACTTTCATATCCATAGGGGCTCTGGAACCAATCCCTCGTGTATACCAAGGGACAACTATATAAGCTCAATAAAATTTAAAAATACATCCACAAAAAAACTTGTATACTGGTGTTCACAGCAGCATTATTCATACTAGCCCAAGGCAAAAACAACTCAAAATTCAAAAATGTCCATCAACAATTAAATGGATAAATAAAATGTGGCAGATCCATATAATGGAATTATCATTCAGCCATAAAAAGAAATAAGTACTAATACATGATATAACATGGATAAGCCTTATCGCTTCTCGGCCTTTTGGCTAAGATCAAGTGTAACATGGATAAGCCTTAAAAACAATATGCTAACCCAGTGCATCTGCAACAGCGTGGCTCAGTGGTTGAGCATCAACCGATGGACCAGAAGGTCACAGTTCAATTCCTGGTCACGGCATGTGCCCAGGGTTCGGGCTCAATGCCCAGTGGGGGTCATGCAGGAGGCAGCTGATCAATGATTCTCTCTCATCATTCATGTTTCCATCTTTCCCTCTCCCTTCCTCTCTGGAATCAATAAAAATATATTTTTAAAAAATATTATGCCAAATGAAATAAACCAGGCACAAACTCCCCATAAAGTATGATTCCATTTATATTAAATTCTCAGAACAAACAAATCTATGGAAACAGTTAGCAGATTTGTGGTTGCCAGGGACTGGGCAGAAGAAAATAAGAAGGGACTGTTAATGAGTACAGGGTTTCTTTTTTTCTTTTTCTTTTTTTATAACAATGTTATGAGGTGGATATAATTATTACTATTACTCTCATTTTATAGTATCTAAGACTGAAGGGGGTTAATGTAAATTGCCCCAAATCCCAAAACTACAAGTGTCGGAGCCATGATTCAAACCCGAGCCTGCCGGGCTCCCCAGCTGGTGCTCTCCTTGACTGCTGTCCTGACTTTCCTGCAATGCTTGTTACCCTCTAATTCTTCCTTTCTCTCCCACTGCCAGGAATTGTAAACACTTCATCATTCATTAGTAAGATCCAGGTTGTGCCCTTGAGGAGCTCAGAGTCAAGTAAGGAAGCAGATCTATAAACAAATCATTTCAATACGTGGTAAACGGAAATAGAGAGGCAAACCTGGTTCTGTGTGGAGAGGCAGGAAATAGCTCGTCCGCTTTCTGTATACTTGGATTCATCCTTGTCTCCTCTTTCTCTCACATATCGCTTCTAATGCACTGGCCAACTTGACTGGCTCTACCTTTCAAATGTACCCGACATCTGACCTCTTGTCACCACCTCCAACTGCCACTGCTCTGGTCAAAGCCAGGCTTCTGCCTTGGCTGGATCATTATAGTAGCTTCTCAATTGATTCCCCTGCCTTTGCCTCAGTCTGTTTTCTACACAGCAGTTAAAGTGATCTTTTTAAAAATAAGTCACATACTATCACTCCTCTGCTCAAAATGACTTCCAGCAACTTCCTATTTCTTAGGATAAAGCTGAAAATTCTTACCAGGCTGGTAAGCTGACACGCTCTGCCTGCTCTCTCCTGTCTTCCCCCTCTGGCCTCCTTTCCTTCTACTTTTCCCCATCTCCCCTTGCTACAGCCCTCGTAGCTTCCCTGCTGCTCCTTGACAGCACTTCAGCCTCAGGGCCTTGGCACTTGCTGTCCTCTGTCCTTTCTGCCAAGAACAGTTTTACCCCAAGCACTCACGTTACTGCCTTCAGATGTTGGCTCAGGTGCCCTCCTGTTGTCTTGCCAATGGTGTCTTCTCTAGCCGCACTATGTAGATATGGCTGCTCACCCCATCATCCTTTGCCTTATTTACTTTTCTTTATCCCCCGACATTATCGAGTTATTTGTTTGTGATTTGTCTCCTCTGCCAGAATGCACCCCCATGACGACGGAGACTTTATCTCTTTTGTTCTCTGCTGCATCCCCTGTCCTGCAACAGCGTAGCAGGTGCTCAAAAGTATTTGCTCACTGAAGGAATGAGGGAATGTCTCCTATTTTAAATGTGAACATACCAATAATCACATAGTGCTATTCCCTAAGCTCTAAGCACAAGGAAATCACAGATACCCTCACAACATTTTGAACCCCAGTCCCCCAAATACACCACTTCAAGTGCCCTGCTGGCAGCCAGAGACACAGCCTGCCACAGACAGCACCTCCAGGACCCTGCACAAGGACCTAACAGGCCATTAACTATTTAGCATCACCGCTGTAAGCAGTAGCACTTACAGGTTAAAGGGAAGAACCTAAAGATGTGGCTATTGAAACAAAGAAACAAAAAAAAAAATCTTCCTGTTGTATCAGCTGGCTCCAGTGAGCAATCCTTCCTGTTGCTGGTGACAATGTAAATGTCTCTCTGTATAAATGAGGTGTCTCTTTTCCCAACAGGAATAAAAAGCTCATTAAATTATCACCACAGATGCACACACTACTTGAGTAGGGGTTGCAAAGATTTACATATTTACCTATGAGTCACCTTCTCTTTGCACATTACTGCTAGCCTTTTTTTCCAGAGTTTCCAGAACAAAAGAAGCCTGCTTG